TTATTCATTGTTAGTAATTAAAATGCTATTTTGTCCTCATCTTTTCTAATTTTGTGTAAATTACAGTTTTCTTATGTTGTCATTTTAATACTATCATCTCAAATCCAAAATGTCATAATGTCTAGCTACTTTGCAAGTATGATATTATTGAATCTCCTATGTAAATGTGTAACAGCCTGAAAAATGTCCTTCAGAATATCTTTGGTAAATAGAAGACTATTCCAATTTAAATGTCCTTTTGATATCTACTCTGATTATCATTGCTTTATTGACTTTGTGACTTGCAATGAGAAAGTAACAAAAAAAGAGAAAGAAAATAAATGGCTATGTATAATATTATATCCAAGAATATCTGAAACATCTATTTCATTCATAGATTTAAAGCTATAAAGATAGTAAAGATAGTAGTACTATATTATAAAATATAGAGCCATGCTTGACATACTGTAGGTGCTAAATAAATATTTATTAAATGAGTGAATGAAATTCAGAATTTTCACAGGAGGCAAACACAGTATGGGTTGGGTTAAGATATTTAGCTTTTTCTTTGCTGAATAGCAAATTGTGGTAGTTCTCCAGGCTAACATTATCCCTCGCTTTGGTAACTAGGGATTTGAGTCTACCCAACTGATCACATACTAGCATTTCAAGTAATAGGGGATGTGTTCATCAGACATGGGTAGGAGAGACTCTTTTCCTTTCCTTCCCCCATTTCCTTTCTTCCACTCTTTTTCTTTATAAATTAAAATTCAGGCCAGGTGCAGTTGCTCACTCCTGTAATCCCAGCACTTTGGGAGGCTGAGGAAGGAGGATTGCTTGAGTTTAGGAGTTCAAGACCAGCCTGGACAACATAGCGAGACCTCGTCTCTACTACAAATTTAAAAAGTTAGCCCGGTGTGATGGTGCATGCCTGTAGTCCCAGCTACTTGGGATACTGAAGTGGGAGGATCTATTGAGCCCAGGAGGCTGAGGCTGCAGTGAGCCATGATTGCATCACTGCAGTCCAGCCTGGGCAACAGAATGAGACCTGTCTCAAAAATAAAAATAATAAAAATAAATAAATAAATAAATAAATAAATAAATAAATAAATTCAACTCAGCGTTAGTTTTGAAAAGTAAAACTTTTTTCCCCTGGCTCATTTTCACTTACTCAACTCAATAGCATTTTGGTATGTGCCCATCTCAGGTATGTTTGCTTGGGAAAAAAAGATTCTAAGATGCAAATGTGTCTGAAAAAAGTTTACTGAAGAATGTCCTTGGGATCAATATCTGTGGGAGAGCAGAGGAAGTAAGAATATTCATGGGAGAGCGGAACTGTGATGCAGTTGTGATAATGGCTTCAGCCACTTCGAGAGAAGCTTTGGAACAGATGTGACCCTTCAGAGTTGGCCCACTTTGAAGGAAGGGTTGGGCCTTATAACTTTACATCTGGATCTGTCACTGAAAATGGGCTTCCTCAGCAAACGGGCTTGATCTTGGGCAAGAGGCTTTCTTCGGCTGACTTAGGCAGATCTGGGAGAACCTACCTCATAATGGATAGTTTTAGTCCACTAATCACTTGATCTTCTATAATTACACTCTTTATCTTTTCTCTCTGTCCACCAGGGCCCAATTGCACTCCGAGCTTTTGTTTTTAAAAATGGTGTGTAACTCCTTATTTCAGATGGAGTGGCTTGATCCAGAATCCTAGAGATTTACATTGTAATTTTACTTGAGGGTCTTGCCATAAACTCCACATATTATCTTTTCTGATTACTGATGCTTTTCATACTGAAAGGTCTGCCAGATCATATGGCCCAAGCACTCCCTGTACCCGCTGCAGGGCTCTCTCCCACTCAAAGCTTGTAGCCTTTCATGTTATCTAGTGAGTGGGTAAGAGCAGTATTTACTAACATATAATATGTTGAACATATTAGCCAAAGAGGAATACCAGAATACCAGGCATGGTGCTTCCCTTTTTGTGGAGGGAGGTATAAGATGCAAAAATTTGTTTAGTTTAGAGAGGATGTCATGGCTTGTACCAGATGACTGGACTCCCATATACTACCTACATGGCATTTCTCTGAACCCTTATAGGGTTTAACTCCCACACTCTGGAATGCATATGCTATGCCATAATGTATATGCTAACTTCTTGCTTGTCCAGGCCAATTAGCATGGTACCATCAATATAGTGAATCAATGCTATGTTTTGACAAATGATCATTTCAGGTATCTTTGAAATACATTACGTCAGAGGGCAAAATAATTAACCTAGCTCTGGGTAACACTGTAAATATATACATCTATCTGTTTCAAGTGAATTCAAACCATTTCTGATCTTTCCAATAAGTTTGGAAAATAAAGTGTTTTTCAGATCAACAATAGTATACTGTGTATTAGAGTTTGTGGTAATCTGCTCTAGCAAAGAAGCCACATCTGGCACAACATCTGTAATTGGGACTACTTTTCTGATCCGATTTGCCTTACTTTTCTGTCATTCTCCAAGATATGTCTGTTTTTTGTAGGGTCCTTGCTGGTCAATTGAAAGGGAATATGATGAAAATCAGCAACCAAATATTCTGTAGGTTGTCAAAAGTGTCATTAATCTCTGCCACCACTTCCCCAATACCCTCACTAACAAACAGGTGAAATACTGTTTGTTAAAATTTCCTGTCTTGGGGAGGAGCAGTTTCAGAGTTTAAAATTAGCTTTCTCTACTATATGAGTCTTATTCCACAGTCCAAGGTACCAACATGGGGATTCTGCTAATTACCAAGCATGTCCACTATTGTTATTCAATTAGCACCGGCAGTAGTGACTACTGGGTAGGTGTGTGGACCCACAATTGGATAGTACTTGGCCAGACTCCATTTATTACTTTACCCCCATATGCTGGTTCTCTAACAGAGGAACTAATAATGATGCTTTAGTGTCAACTCAGACTCTGCGTCCAAAAGTCCTTCAAACATTTGGGTATTTTCTTAGTTGAGAAAATGGCTTTTGGTAATGTCCCCTTGGGGAAGGATTGAGGAAATTGTTACTTTATTCACTTGTGTCATGGTGATACAGGGTCTCTAGAAAAACCCCATCTTTTGATGGTCTTTACAAATAGCAGTTCTTGTAAAATTTTATTTGATGCTCATCACAACCATTATCATTAGAGTAGCTGCTATTACATAGCAGCTCTCTGTCCACAAATAAGAAACCAAGATTCAGGGAGTTTAGGTCACACAAAAAGTAACTTGCAAGTGCCATATCTTTTTTTTTATTTTTTTGTGAAACAAGTTGCTTCTCTTAAGCAAGAGAAACAAGTTCTTCCTCTTAAGCGAGAGAAACAAGTTCTTCCTCTTGGTTTTTTTTTTTTTTTTTTTTTTTTTGATAAACAAGTTGTTTCTCTTGCTTAAGAGAAACAAGTTCTTCCTCTTGTTTTTTTTTTTTTTTTTCTTTGATAAACAAGTTGTTTCTCTTAAGCAAGAGAAACAAGTTCTTTCTTTTTTCCAGGAGAGACTGTGGCTGCAGTAAATTTTCCCTGAGTAAAATTGTATTTATGTAATTTTTTGTGTCTGAAAAGCAGAATTGAATAGCAAGAGCTTGGTGAAAATGTCAGTACTTCCCTAGGCTATGAGATGTTCTGGAAAATTTGTTATTCTTGTATCCTATTACCTCGCCTTTTCCCATTTCAGGTTATTCCCACTGTTGGAGCCACTACTGAGAAGGGAAAACTCAAATGATTTAGAGATAAGACATACAGGGCTGCTTTTGGTGACTGCACATCTGCATTCAATTAATAAACAATTTGTGAAAAATTGACTTACCAATAACCCAAAATGTGAACAAGTAGACATTGATTTTTGTTCTTCAATTCCAAAACCTGGAAGTATGAGTGTCTTGCAAAGTTTTCGTCTCTTGTGAGGATATACAGAGATAGCTTGTGCAAAAGTAATGATTTCACTTCTTAGTACTCTCTCTTATGTGAAAGTTGCACAACTTCCTTTTCTCTCTAGTCTGGCCCCTTTGAGTCAGTAGAGTGGGTCTCAGCACTGGTGCAGGGATGTAAGCAGAACTGGTTATCAAAATAAATGGAGCCTTTAAACATACTCTGTCTAGAGTGGTATCCCTTCTTATCACTGCTTTGAGGCATATTATATTAGAAGGTGGGGATAATGGGTGTGTGTGTTAGTTTGTGAGGGCTGCCGTAACAAGGTACCACAGACTGATGTCTTAAACAACAGAAACTCACTTTCTCACAGTTCTGGAGACTAGATTTCTCAGAGCAAGGTGTCAGCAGGTTCATTTTTTCCAAGGCCTTTTTATTTGGCTATCTTTCCATGGTATTGCTGTGTGTATGTATGTCTGTCCAAGGGTACAAGGGTACCAGTCATATTAGATTAAGTCCCACCCTAAAGACCTCATTTTAACTTAGTTACTTTAACAAAGATCTTATCTCCAAATACAGTTACATTCTGAAATAGTAGGACTTAGGACATCAACATATAAATTTTGGGGGGTGTATTAATCTGTTTTCATGCTGCTGGTAAAGACATACCCGAGGCTGGGCGCAGTGGTTCAAGCCTGTAATCCCAGCACTTTGGGAGGCCGAGACGGGCGGATCACGAGGTCAGGAGATCGAGACTATCCTGGCTTACACGGTGAAACCCCGTCTCTACTGAAAAATACAAAAAACTAGCCGGGCGAGGTGGCGAGCACCTGTAGTCCCAGCTACTCGGGAGGCTGAAGCAGGAGAATGGCGTGAACCCGGGAGGCGGAGCTTGCAGTGAGCTGAGATCCGGCCACTGCACTCCAGGCTGGGCAACAGAGCGAGACTCCGTCTCAAAAAAAAAAAAAAAAAAAAAAAAAAAAAAAAGACATACATGAGACTGGGAAGAATTAATGGACTTACAGTTCCACATGGCTGGGGAGGCCTCATAATCATGGCAGAAGGAAGGAGGAGCAATTCAGGTCTTACATGGATGGTGGCAGGCAAAGAGAGAGCAAGCTTGTGCAGGGGAACTCCCATTTTGAAAACCATCAGATCTTGTGAGACTCATTCCCTATCATGAAAACAGTGCAGGAAAAAACTGTCCCTGTAATTCAATTACCTCCCACAACACATGGGAATTCAAGATGAGATTTGGGTGGGCATACAGCCAAACCATGTTGGTGGTGGGGGCCATAAGTCAGCCTCTTATAAGGGGTATTATTTCTTACATTGGCAGTTAAATTCCTAAATAAACAATGGGCTAAATCAACCCTTCTTAACCTGGTACACCTTAATGGTTTGTGAAATTTTAGAAGTATATGCTTTCATTAGGTTCTTAGTTTCCCAAAAGGCTAAGAGTTCAAACAATGTTTACTTACTGGTAGTGATGCAAACTGGGAACTTGATTCAGTATCTCTGTGTTTAACAGTTTTTTGTTTGCTTGTACACAGGTATAGGAACCTAATTTCCATCTTAATCAGTTTCTATAGGATGGGGACATTCTGAGTTCAAAACAATATATAAAATCTTGAAAGGTATCCTATTCACAAGCTGAGGCTACCTACTCTTGGAGTAAAGAAGAATAATTGAGTTTAATGAATTTCAGTGGATGGTAAGTATTTATTATATAGCTTGAATTGTAAATTCTGAAAGACAAGACCATATATATTAACAAAGCACAGTACCAAACACAGGAGTACCTAATAGCAACTTATCTTTTTTTTTTTTTTTTTTTTTGAGACAGAGTCTTGCTCTGTCATGAGGCTGGAGTGCAGTGGCACGATCTCGGCTCACTGCAACCTCCACCTCCCGGGTTCAAGCGATTCTCCTGTCTCAGCCTCCTGAGCAGCTGGGACTACAGGCATGTGCCACCACGCCCAGCTAATTTTTGTATTTTTAGTAGAGACGGGGTTTCACCATGTTGACCAGGATGGTCTCAATCTCTTGACCTCATGATCCACCCCCCTCAGCCTCCCAAAGTGCTGGGATTATAGGCGTGAGCCACTGTGCCTGGCCTAAACTTATACTTTTAATAATTATTTAGCAAATTGAATTTACCTAAATGGTTCAGGTAATTATCTTGAAAACTAGGCAGCTTATCCATAAACAGAGTACATCTAGGGATTTTGTTTTTACCTGCATTCTGAAGCATGGCTTTAACACTGTTCCATTCATCCTTCTTACTACGTCTCTGACTGTGCCCCTTACCCAAGTAAGAAGAGAAGAACGGTGGTGGGGTATATTAGCAGCTGCCTGGTGTAAATCCAGAAGAAAAGACAGGCTTTTATAGTGGCTCCCGGGTATGAATTGATTCAGAGATGAGCCAAAATTTGCGGCCTCTATTTTATATAATTTCATAATTGCACTTTTTTTAGAACTAGCGTATGAAGCAAAGACTTCAGATAGCAATCATATATTTAGGCTTATTTTCAGCCATCTTTAAGCACTCTAATATTAAGAGTTTTAATCTGTTAATAATTTTTACCTTAACATTTATATCTCTTGGATTCATGTGGTTAGGTGTATTTTTTGCTCTCTTTAATGCAATCATTAAGAAACCTGTTGTATCAGTACAGTTATAATTTATTTCTTTTGAGAAATGGCCTACACCTTTGATAATTTAGAATGCCAAATGAATTAAAAAGAGGATTCTTCAAGTGTTTCACTTTTATTAGTACTTTTTTTTTTTTTTTTTCCAGAGCATATGAGAATCTCAACTATTGTAACAGGATTTCAAAGGAAAGCAATTCTATCTGCCAAGAAAAGAGGACACATATTTAGAGAATGGTTATTCAGCAGGCAGAGGAGGAGAGGGACTTTTCCTTCATGGATGTCAGAGGACTTCGGTAGGCTCAGCTATAACAGTTTACAAGCTCAAAAAGTGTGTAATGGTGGCAGAAAGGAGTTAGTCCTAGAGGGTATCCCTGGGGAATATGAAACATGATCATAAAGAGATGAAAATGTGCTTCTCCAAACCCCTTAAAGGGCAAAACCTGAAGAAGCAGGCTTATGTGTGAAATACGGGGCTCAATGAAACACCTCCTTATAGTTGGATTCTTGGAGAGGTTGTTGAATTTCCATAGCTGAATATGATTAAAATGACAGGAAGGTTTTGGGTCTGGGATATTTTGAATACAAACTTTTGGAAATAAAGGAAAGCTGAGTACTATGTGAAACTTCCTTTTCAATTCTGTTAGCTGATGGTGAATATACACCACATTTCTTTCTACCTGCTTTTCCCTGATTTGCTGTATACCTTGAATCACAAAGGATAATGAAATTATGACCTTTAACAATATTTATTGCTTGACTACAGGTTTCATACTGGTTGATAATTTGTTGTGAAGTGAGTCATTAACAATAAAGTTACTATTCACAGAGTATTGACTTCTGAGAAGTATTTACTTTGAAATGTAAAGTAGAATAGTTACTGTAATTGTTCTTTTTAATTGACTGACTTGCATTAATCATGCTTTTTTCAGGGAAGAGAAATAACTTTCAGGAAAGGAATCAGGAATTTTGAATAACTCAAGTACATATGTGAGAGTGCTTTCTATCCAATGTATGGAACCTGATAAAAATGTTGAGAGCCACTGGTCTAATCTATATCTACAGTCTTATACATTCATGCTCTGTGCTTGGTCAGATACCCTAAAAAGATAGGATTTCACCATAGTGGTTGACGCAGGGAGCCCAAGCCCAACCCCTGATTATGAAAGAAGACATATTAACAATAAAAATCCTTTTCTTATCATATGCAGAGTTCTATGGCCATTTTTCTACTTTTTTTTTTTTTTTTTTTTTTGAGACGGAGTCTCACTCTGTCACCCAGGCTGGAGTGCAGTGGCACAATCTCAGCTCACTGCAACCTCCACCTCCTGGGTTCAAGCAATTCTCCTGCCTCAGCCTCTTGAGTAGCTGGGATTACAGGCATGCGCCACCACGCCCAGCTAATTTTTTGTATTTTTAGTAGAGATAGGGTTTCACCATGTTAGCCAAGATGGTCTCCATCTCCTGACCTTGTGATCTACCCGCCTCGGCCTCCCAAAGTGTTGGGATTACAGGCATGAGCCACCGTGCCTGGCCCATTTTTCTACTTTTTCAGTTTTAAATAAGCACATACTCTATACCCATCTCTGAAATTGACTCCTCTTTGTTATACATGTAATTGGATCAATGGGCTAATAACTTCTTTCTTTGGTGGTATTGTCATTTTTATTTTAATAGATTGTGCTCAACAAAGGGCAAGTGCTATCTCTGTACAATTAGATGTGTAGTAAATCCACTTGGATGACAGTGTTCTAACATTAGTCCTGAAGATCTCTTGCTGATACTGCTCACTTGAATTTGTCATTACAACTTGGTAGAACTTGACTTCTACAGGTTTCCTTTCAGTTTTCCAGCTAGATATTTCTCTGAATAACACAATATTAGCAATTTCACTGTTTTTTTTGGGGGGGGGGCGTGTCTCATTACCCTAATTAACTTCTACATTAAAAAAAGTGTGAAAAGACAATATACCTTCTCTTAATTTTGGCTGCTTCCTCACATACGATTGTGTTCTATCTCATTTTCTCTATTCTTCTTATATTTTTACTCCTTTCGATTGTTTCTAGCATTTTGGAATTGGTACAACCTTTTCACTAATGCTACTAAAATCTTTCATTAAAAAATTTGGCTTCTCATATTCATACACTTCTTTCTGTAGTGGGAATATCTTCAATATATACATGCTTTTTACCATTCAAAGACTCCGGAACCTCTGGCATGATTTATTTTTGTTGCTATAAAACCGACAGCATGTACTATGATGCTTGTCTGTAAAAATGTTAGCATCTGCCTGCAGTTGCCCTGTTTTGACGCTGGGTGGCCAAAGCGCATAGGGAATTTGAAGCTCTGTCTTAACTTTTCAAGCAACATTTTGATCATGTTGAATGACGGAAATAATCCTATATCATATTAAAAATGGGCAAAAATTTGTAAAGGAATCTATAGAGAGTTTGGATGGAGGAATTTCAGAGGTTAAACTTAAGCTTCTGGCAATAATTAAATCACAACAATATGTCAAATGAAAATACACTGAACTGGGAACTAGAAAATAAAAATTCTTGTTGATGCTCTTGAGTGAGAATAATCTCTTTGTAATTCTGAATTTTTTTTTTTTTTTTTTTTTTTTGAGACGGAGTCTCACCCTGTGACCCAGGCTGGAGAGCAGTGGCGCGATCTCGGCTCACTGCAAGCTCCACCTCCCAGGTTCACACCATTCTCCTGCCTCAGCCTCCTGAGTAGCTGGGACTACAGGCGCCCGTCACCACGCCCGGCTGATTTTTTTGTGTTTTTAGTAAAGACGGGGTTTCAACTGTGTTAGCCAGGATGGTCTCAATCTCCTGACCTCCTAATCACATAAAACATTAACCTTGAATGTAAATGGGCTAAATGCCCCAATTAAAAAACACCGAATAGCAAGCTGGGTAAAGAGCCAAGACGCATTGGTGTGTTGTATTGAAGGGAATGATCTCACGGGCAGAGACACACATAGGCTCAAAATAAAGGGGTGGAGGAGAATTTACCAAGCAAATGGAAAGCCGAAAAAAGCAGGGGTTGCAGTCCTAGTTTCTAACAAAACAAACTTTAAACCAGCAGAGATTTAAAAAAAAAAAAAAAAAAAAAAAAGACAAAGAAGGGCATTACATAATGGTAAAGAGTTAAATTCAACAAGAAGAACCAACTCTCCTAAATATATAGGCACCCAATACAGGAGCACCTAGATTCATAAAACCAGTTCTTGGAGACATACATAGAGACTTAGATGCCCACACAATAATAGTGGGAGACTTTAACACCCCACTGTCAATATTAGACGGATGATCGAGGCAGAAAATTAACAAGGATATACAGGACTTGAACTCAGCTCTGGATCAGGTGGACCTGATAAATATCTACAGAACTGCCCACCCAAAAACAACAGAACATACATTAGTTTTGGTGCCACATGTCAATTACCCTAAACTCAACCAATCACATAATTGGAAGTAAAACACTCCTCAGCAAATGCAAAAGAACCAAAATCCTAGCAGTCTCTCAGACCACAGCACAATCAGATTAGAGCTCAAGATTTAAGAAACTCACTCAGAGTCACATAACTACATGTAAGCCGGGTGTGGTGGGTCATGCTTGTAATCCTAGCACTTTGGGAGATTGAAGCGGGTGAATCACTTGAGGTCAGGAGTTCAAGACCAGCCTGGCCAACATGATGAAACCCTGTCTACTAAAAATACAAAAATTAACTAGGTATGTTGGCATGTGCCTGTATTCCCAGCTACTCAGGAGGCTGAGGTATGAGAATTGCTTGAGTGAGGGGATGGAGGTTGCAGTAAGCTGAGATCACACCACTGCATTTCAGCCTGGGTGACAGAGCAAGACTCTGTCTGGAAAAAAAAAAAAAAAAAAACACCACACAGCTACATGTAAATTGAACAACTTATTCCTGAATGATTCCTGGGTAAATAATGAAATTAAGGCAGAAATCAAGAAGTTCTTAGAAACCAATCAGAACAAAAAGACAAAGTACCAGGATCTCTGGGATGCGGTTAAAGCAGTATTAAGAGGGAAATTTATAACACTAAATGCCCACATCAAAAAGGTAGAAAGGGCTGGGCACAGTGTCTCATGCCTGTAATCCCAGCACTTTGGGAGGCCAAAGCAGGTGGATCACCTGAGGTCAGGAGTTCGAGACCAGTCTGTCCAACATGCTGAAACCCCACCTCTACTAAAAATACAAAAATTAGCTGGGCATGGTGGTGGGTGCCCAGCTACTAGGGAGGCAGGAGAAACTCTTGAACTGGGAGGCAGAGGTTGCAGTGAGCCAAGATCATATCATTGCACTCCAGCCTGGGCCACAGAGTGAGACCCTGTCTCAAAAAGAAAAAGAAAAAAAACCTAGAAAGATCTCAAATCTAACACCACAATTAATAGAACTAGAAAACCAAGGGCAAGCAAACTCCAAAGCTAGCAGAAGACAAGAAATAACCAAGATTACAGTAGAATTAAAGTAGATAGAGATATGAAAAACCCTTAAAAATCAGCTATTAAGGAGCTTGTTTTTTGAAAAAAAATTAATAAAATAGATAGACTGTTAGCTAAACTCATAAAGGAGAAAAGAGAGAAGAATCAAATAAATAAAAAATCATAAAGGGAATATCATCATTGATCCCACAGAAATACAAACAGCCATCAGAGAATACTATAAACACATCTATGCAAATAAACCAGAAAATCTAGAAGAAGTAAATAAATTCCTGAACACATACAGCCTCTCAAGACTGAATCTGAAAGAAGTTGAATCCCTGAATAGACTAATAACAGGTTATAAAATTGAGGCAATAATAAATAGCCTGCCAACCAAAAAAAGCCTAAGACCAGACAGATTTGCAGCTGAATTCTACCAGAGGTATGAAGAGGCACTGGTACCATTTCTTCTGAAACTATTCCAAACAATTGAAAAGGAGGGACCCTTCCCAACTCATCTTTTGAGGCCAGCATCATCCTGATACCAAAACCTTGTAGAGATACAACAACAATAACAAAAAACTTCAGGCCAATATCCCTGATGAACATCGATGCAAAAATCCTCAATAAATACAGGCAAATAAAATGCAGCAGCACATAAAAAAGCATATCCAACATGATCAAGTTGGCTTCATCCCTGGGATGCAAGGCTGGTTCAACATATGCAAATCAACAAACATAATTCATCACATAAACAGAATTAAAAACAATAACCACATGATTATCTCAATAGACATAGGAAAAGGCCTTTGCTAAAATTCAACATCCCTTCATGTTAAAAACTCTCAATAAACTAGGTATTGATGGAACATACCTCAAAATAAAAAGAACCTTTTATGACAAACTGACAGCCAATGTCATACTGAATGGGCAAAAGCTGGAAGCATTCCTTTTAACCAGCACAAGACAAGGATGCCCTCTCTTACCACTCCTATTCAACATACTATTGGAAGTTCTGGCCAGGGAAGTCAGTCAAGAGAAAGAAATAAAACGTATTCAAATAGGAAGAGAGGAAGTCAAACTGTCTCTGTTTGCAGATGACATGATCCTATATTTAGAAAACCCCACCATCTCAGCCCAAAAGCTTCTTAAGCTGATATACAAATTCAGTGGTCTCAGGATACAAAATCAACATACAAAAATCACAAGCATTTCTATACACCAACAATAGACAAGCAGAGAGCCAAATCATGAATGAATTCCCATTACGATTGTTACAAAGAGAATAAAATACCTAGGAATACAGCTAACAAGGGATGTGGAGGACCTCTTCAAGGAGAACTACAAACCACTGCTCAGGGAAATAAGAGAAA